TCTCTTCCTCACTTTGGCCAGAAATGCTGCAGTTGAGCTGCTTTCCTGGGGATTGGATGTCAGGGGAGTTGGCTGATTGGCACTGACACGTTTTGGCCTTGAATCAGTCACAGAGTCATGGAAGGGTTTGGGTTGGAAGGGACCTCAAAGCTCATCTCGTTCCAACCCCCTGCTGTGGGCAGGGACACCTTCCCCTGGACCTCCACTGGCTGGAGCCAGTGTCCAAACACCCTCAGAGAATTAGGGTTTTTTGTAAAAGATGCAGCTTGGCCCTGCATTGGAGCCCTTTTCCTTGTCCCTGGGAGCTGCCACTCCTGCCAGTGCCCCCTCTCTGGCTCGTGCTGCCCAGCCTGTGCCCTCAGAGCTGGCTGAGAGCTTGGAGCAGCTCTTCTGGAGGACAGGAAAAACAGACTGGGAGATGGGAATGGCCTGGAGTTGTGTCAGGGCAGGGTCAGGTTGGATCTCAGGTAAAAGGTTCTTCCCCCCAGAGGGTGGTTGGGCACTGAACACTAGATAAGTGTGTGGCCAAAAGCCAGTGATCACTGTAAGCCCTGCAGAATGAAGAGGTTCAAAAGGAATGATCTCTCCTAGGAGAACTACTTCAGGTCATTAAAAAATGAAGAAGAAACTGAAAGCAGATTAAAACAAAAAGCTTCTCCTCAATAAATAACTTGACTCCAGAGGCTCAGTTCTTCAGGGGAAAGGGAAATACTGTGATATCAAAGGAGTTGTCACTGCAGGTTTGGAAAACTTGGAACCTCAGAGAGTCTCTGCACTACCAGTTCTTGCTCTGCTCAGTTATTGCTCTTTTTTCTGCCAGGGTTTGTTTGGTTATTGTTGTATTTACAGGAGTGATATATTGTGATATATTGTTTCCTTCAGATTTAATTCTTCACTGGTTTGTTGATTTTTGGGCCTTCCAGGAGCTCTTGGAATGACCATATAAACGGGGAGAGGGACAGGCCATCGTGGAATGTACCCAGTCCATGCCCCTGTCAGTGGTCAGAGGGTCCTGATGCTCTGCCAGCACAGCAACCTGAGCATTTCTGGGAGAAAATGTTCCTCAGGTGAAATGGGATTGAAAGCTCTGATTTTCATCCTATAATACTGTGCCTGTTTCTGGACTGGGTTTGCTGAAGGCTTCTGGAGTTGTCACTGTCAGCTCCCAAATTTCTGGCATCAGTGGGGGATATATTCAGATTATTGGCTGTGAGACGCTCACATGGGTTGGTTCCTGCAGGGGGTTGGTGCCCAGGTACCAACTTTTTGGTATGTTTTGACACTCAGGTTAGCTGTGAAATGGTCTTGGAGGCTGTGCCTGGCAGGATTGGGATGGGATGGAGTGGGATGGGATGGGATGACACAAGCACAGGGCAGACACCTGGGAGGTGCTGAGCACCACCTGCCTTTTGGGAAACTGTGCTCTTCAAAACCTGAGCATTTCCTGGAGCTGGGATGTTATTTTTAGAGCATGGAGCATCTTCTCTCCCTTAGATTTCCAAAGTGTGAGTTGGAAGAGAATCACAGAATCTTTTTGGTTGGAAAACCCCTTGGAAATCATTGAGTCCAGCCATCCCCCCAGCACTGCCCAGGCCACCACTGCCCCGTGTCCCCAGGTGCCACTTCCACTGTGTTAAACCCCTGCAGGGGTGGGACTCCACCACTACCCTGCAACGTGAAGATTTCCATGAAGAGTTTTTCCCTGATATCCAATGTGAAGCACCCCTGGCACCCTCTGATACTTTGAGCCAACTTATCCAGCGTGCTCTGGGGTGACTGAACCACCCCACAGAATTTAAATCCCACAGAATTTAAATCTCTCTAACCTGTTCTCTTCCCAGCCCAACCTGGGCTCTTCCTCTTACTGTTGGGAAAAAGCAGAAGAAAAGCTACAAAGAGGTTTCTTGTCATCACAGAGGAACATTAAACATGGATTGCTTGTGCATTGGACAAGTTTTTATCTTGTTCCTCTCTTTCCTCCTCCCATCATTACAGGGAAAGTCATCCTTGGGAGCCCTTTTGTGTGTCCTTTCCCCTTCCCCTCTCTGAGGATGCCCCTGTGTTCCTGTGCTGGTTTTGTTTGCAGCTGAGGGGATCACAAGGTTGCAGAAGAGCAGATTGGTTTTTGTTATCCTTTGTATCTTTGCTTTTTAGTGCTGCAGTTTGTGCTTCTGCCTTAATGGGGTTTAAAAAAAAAAAAAAACAACTGCCAGTTCTCCTCAACTCCTTTGCCCTTAAGCTCTTCTCCTCTGGGATCTCCCCTGCTGGTTCTCAGGGTTCACTGAAAATGCTTCTTGGACTCTCTGTGATTTTATTCTGCTCTTCCCCTCCCTGAGAGGGATGTGCTCTGTCCATTCCTGGGCACTGCCACCAGCACTTCCTTCATGTTCAGGGAGCACCAGCTCTGGAGCAAATGATACTTTATACTCGAGTTTCACTTGCCCTCAAAGATCCTTGGAAGGCTTTAATAAGCATTTGAAGAAAGCACAAAGCAAAAGCAGATTTATTAACCCCCAATCCCCAAGGGACTGGGATGGGGATGAACAAACACCTTCCCAGAGGTCTCAGGGACTGCCAGGGACACTCTGGGAGCGCTGTCACATAATCCTGGTGGATCTAAGGCCTGCTACCACTGCTGGATGGTCAGCCAGGGAAAACTGGGAGCCAGCTGGGAGCATCTCGTGGTGTTTCCTGCAGTCCTGCATCACTGAGTGGTGGTGGTGGGATGCTGTGGCAGTGAAATGTCTCTGAAGGATCAAAGCAAACCTGTGTCACTCTTGGGATCTCTACTAAAATCAAGGGTTTCTGGTGTGTGTGGCTTTGGGTGGGATTCCTTTTTTCCTTGTGTTATTCTGGGGAGGCAGGAAGGAATCCCAGGCACAGTTACCAGCTCAAGGCCTGAGTCGCCAGTGAGGCAGATGATGAGGAGGGTCAGGGAGCTTAGGGGGGAATGGGGAGGTGACAGTGGGATTCTGTGTGTGCTGGGGGACCATAAAACAATCTCAGCCACGAGGCATTGCTTTTTTAGGCTCCCATTAGCAGAGAAACTCCTTTTTGCCAAATAAGCTGCTTTGTAGACATGCCCTGCTATGTTTATTAAACAGATAGAACGTGTTCAAAATTCAGGGCCTGTTGGACACCAACAGCTGTCCAGGGCGTATCCAGAGCTTATTGATTTTCTGCCAACTTGCCCTGTAAAATATACAAGGTACAAGTTATGTAGTTAAACATGTAAGAGTTTTATAAATGCATTTTATAGTTGACATTCAGAAAACTTTCCACGTTGGCAGATGAGGGAGAAAAAGGGGAAATTCAGAAAGCAAAGCTGTTTTGGCTTAAAGGATCCTTGAGGTGGTAAAGTTTGGGAGCAGTGTTTGAATCTTTGCTCTTGAAGTGGATGAAGAAATGCTTGGGCCCAAAGGCTGGTTTTAGTGAGGCTGGGTCTAGAATTTGGGGTTTAGCCCTGGCAGAGTGTGCAGCTGCAGGTTTTCATTTGGAGAATCCCAGAATGGTTTGGGTTGGAAGGGACTTTGAAGCTCATCCAATCCCACCCCCTGCCATGGGCAGGGACACCTTCCACCAGCCCAGGGTGCTCCAACCTGGCCTTGGACACTTCCAGGGCTGGGGCAGCCACAGCTTCTCTGGGCAACCTGTGCCAGGGCCTCCTCACCTGAACAGGGAACAATTTCTCCCTAATATTTCATCTTCTCTTAGTTTGAATCCACTCCCCCTTGTCCAAAGTCAATGGGAGTCTTTTTCTTGTCTCCAAGCAGTGTTGGTTCAGCCATTTCATCCTGAGAAAGGGCTTCCTGTCTTTCCTCCCTTAGTTAAGTGCTGGGATGGTGCCCTGCTGTCCCTGTGGGTTGGGGGTGAATGCAGCAGGGCACCTCTCACCCTCTCCTTGGCTGCCTCCCAGGGCTGGTGGAGAGTGGGGCAGGAAACCTGGGCAGAAATCTCAGTGTCAGGGTATAATTTGCTTGGTCTTGTTTCCCTGTCCAGAGCTGGGTTAATGACTTTTGTGGCAGACTCTGCAAAATGTGCTGCTCTTTTCTCAGTGGGTTGTTCTGTGTGCAGTGGGGTTGGGAGGGAGAAGGGAAGGAGCTGTTGCTGCATAGTTTGGGAAGAAGAAGAAGGTGGAGGGAGAACAAGGAGGTGAAAACACTGAAATTAAGATGATACTTGAAGGCTGATGATCCCTGTTTGGTGCTGATCCAGCAGGAGTGAGGGATTGCTCTGAGCTCTCTCTGGGCTGTGTTGGTCAGGTGGGACCATGATGGGGACCAGCCAGTTGCTTGTGATGTTTCGTCTGCTGCTCAGGATGCAGGTTGTTTTCCCAGCTGACTTACGATGGTTTTGTGGCATCTTCTCATGCTAATAAGTAAGAAATGGGGAGAAGCTCTGTAGATCTTCCAGGTGCTTGTGGGGATTTCCCTGGGTGGGCTTTTGCTGGTTTGGGGTGCAATGATCCTTTCCAGACAAGGTTCGCTTCCTAACCCAGAGGGAAGATCTGTGGGGTTTCTCCTTCAATCTGCTTGGCTCAGAGGAATTAAAATCTGGGAGATCAACCACATCCACCACTCTGGTACAGTGCAGACTCCCTGCTCTCAGAGTTTGAAGCATCCTGTCCTTCTCAGGGTGGTGGTTGGTACCTTTAAAATGGAACTAAAGGTATCCTGGGACCTTCCTTCTCCAGAGCTTTGTGCAGCCGTGGTCAGAAGGGGAAGGAGAACCAGTTTTCCTTTCTTTGCAGAGGTTTTTGGGGCTGCAGAGCATCATTTTAGCTTAGAAACCTTTCACCTGGGGTTCAGAACAGGTATGTTAGGTTTAACAGGAACTGCAAGGCCTGTTTTTCCCTCTGGGGAGAGCAGAGCCTGGCAGGAGGGAGGTCTGACAGTGGTGGTCAGCAGCAGGATGTTGCTGGGAGTTTCTTGTTGCTTTTAGTGGTGTTAAACACTGCCAAAGGTGGCAGGTGGGTCCTCCCACATGTGTTAAAATGCCAGTGAGTGCCTTGTGTCCTCTCCCTGCAGGCACCACACGAACCCAGTGGGCACAGAGTGGCGCTGGAAGATGGACCAGCCGGAGCTGATCCTGCAGGAGGCGATTGAGAACCATCAGAACATGATCAAGCAGTTCAGAGGTAACTTCTCCTCGTACCCCATCAGTGGTGCTTTGAGAACACAACCAGCAGAGCCATCTTCAGAGCATGGGGCAGAACGTTCTGGTCAGCTGGGAGGTGTGAGATGTGGGACATCCCAGAGATGGGAGAGGAGAAACTTCTGTGGCACATGTATTGTCTCCTGAGCTGTTTTGCCATTTCCCTCAGCCAGTGGGTATCCAGGGCTGCCTGGAGGGAGGGAGTGCAGTTGCACCTCAGTGGTTGTTCCATCTTTTCCCTTGGTGAGCACAGAGACTTCCACAGTGGTTAAACTGGTGTGGATAATGGGCAATCTTGGCTGCTCTGTAAGTGATGAGGAAATGCCCAGCCTTAATCCCCTGGTTTTGTGTTTATTCTGAAACTTCCAGGTTGTGTTTTTTCCCATTAATAATTAAGCAGCAGCATTGAGGGTATTCCTATTTTCAGGAATTATTCAAACACCTCTTTCTGACTGAAGCTGCAGTTATCCCCTCTCAGAAGCGCTGCTTTTCCTTCAGATAGAAGCCTGGTGTGAGTTAGATGTTTATTAATTCTGTATCTGTATGGGGATGGCTGGGTTTTGGGGTTTATTTTATTTTATTTTATTTTATTTTATTTTATTTTATTTTATTTTATTTTATTTTATTTTATTTTATTTTATTTCCCAAATGTGATAAACTTGGTTCCTCTGCCAGGGTCACCTTCATGTGCCAGCTTGGGCAGGACAGGCCTGGGGTTCTGCTCTTCCCAGCTGAGTGTGAGCAGCAGGAGTGGGATAAACATCCCTAAAATGTGCAGGATGAGCCTCGATCTTGGCTGTCATTTTGGGAACCTTTTTTTTCAAAACATGACAGGCACAAAACCCTTCTGTGAGCAGAGCAGAGTTGCTCTGTCTCATTCACTGGAGTTGGATGATGGGGGGAAAACCAGCTCAAGGAGGGGCCTCATGGGCTTCATGTCTGGTTTGGATCATCAGATGTTTCCAGCAGCAGCTCAAAAAAGTCCTTTAAGTAAAGCCATTATCACCCTGGAGTAAGGAATAGCCTTTTCCTTCCTTTAATACTCCCTGCTCTCTTCCCAAAAAGGGCTGGGGATAGGGATTCATTATGGACAGACTTGTCAGCATCTGAAAATACAGCTGAAGTTCAAGAGGCCTGTGAGGACATCCCAGTTCTCTCCTTTTGGGGCTTCTTCTCCATTAAACAAATCCACAAATATTCCCTGAAACATGCCTGTGCATCCTCAGCACAGTTACCCTTGACCTGGAACTGTGAAAGGAGAAAGAGCAGGGGAGAAAAAAATAATGGTTCTGGACTAGAAATGAGCTGCAAAGTGGGAAAAGAAAAGCTGTGTTACTTTTTCAGAGTGATAGATGGCAACATGCTTCCTGTCTTGGGAGCCTGCGAGGCAAAGGTTTATTAAGGAGAAGAAAAATGGGTAGGAAAAGCCCAGGAGCTGCTATTGCAGGTTGGAGATTGTCACTTCCCTGGGGTGCCTGTGAAAATATTGTTGGGGTGGAACCAGTGGAAGCAAAATGGAGCTGGAGCAGGGACAGGGGAAGGATGGAAGTCCCCAGTGGGCTGTGCCCTGGCCAGGCTGGAGCTCCGGCACAAAACATGGCTGTGTCTTTCCAGCCAACTTAGCAGCTCCACAAACAGCAGGTGGATCTTATTGGGATTGATTTTTGAATTAAAAAGAAACCATCAACACCCCACAAACCACCCCCAGGGCTTGAGCAGTGAGATGGACCAGGTTGTGGGGCAGGAGGGCAGGTTGGGCTCTGTCCCTCTGAGCTGCCACTGCTGAGGGACCTCGGGGGTTGGGGACAGTTTTGGGCTCCTTGTGACAAGAGAGACACGGAGGGGCTGGAGCGTGTGCAGGGAAGGGAACGGAGCTGGGAAGGGGCTGGAGGAGCAGGAGGGGCTGAGGGAGCTGGGGGGGCTCAGCCTGGAGAAAAGGAGGCTCAGGGGGGACCTTCTGGCTCTGCAATCCCTGACAGGAGGGGGGAGCTGGGGGGGGGTCGGGCTCTGCTCCCAGGGAACAGGGACAGGAGGAAAGGGAACGGCCTCCAGCTGTGCCAGGGGAGGGGCAGGTTGGATACTGGGAGTATTCCTTCATGGAAAGGGCTGTCCAGCCCTGGCACAGCTGCCCAGGGCAGTGGGGGAGTCCCCATTCCTGGAGGGTTTTGAAAACTGTGTACATGTGGCCCTTGGGGACGTGGGTTAGGGGTGGCCTTGGCAGTGCTGGGGGAACAGTTGGACTCGATCTTGGGGGGTCTTTTCCAACCTCAGTGGTTGTGATTCTGCAGCACTGCCTGAGACTCCAGAGGAACTCCCAGCAGAGCTGAACTGTTTGACTCCCAGAGCAGAATAGACAATTTAGGCTCCTGGAGAATAAAACCGTGAGGAAATGTCTTATCTAGAGATCCCTTAGGGCTTGAGCACCCTGTGATGCTGCTCAGGTGATGCCCAAAGCCATTTGAATAAATTGGTGCTGCCCTTTGTAGTCCCAGTGCCATCTCCAGTGCCAGAGGAACTGGTGAGCTCATCTGAGGAGCACCAGGAGGATCAGAGGGATGGAGCAGCTCTGATGGGAGAGAGGGCTGAGAGAGCTGGGATTGTTCAGCCTGGAGAAGAGAAGCTTCAGGGAGACCTGATTGTGACCTTTCAGTGCCTGAAGGAGCCAACAGGAATGATGGAGAGGGACTGTTTACAAGGGCCTGGAGTGACAGGACAAGGGGGAATGGCTTCAAACTGCCAGAGGGGAAATTTGGGTTGGATATTGGGAAGGAATTCTTGGCTGTGAGGGTGGGGAGGCCCTGGCACAGGTTGCCCAGAGAAGCTGTGGCTGCCCCATTCCTGGAAGTGTCCAAGGCCAGGTTGGATGGGGCTTGGAGCAACCTGGGCTGGTGGAAGGTGTCCCTGCCCATGGCAGGGGTGGGACTGAGTGATCTTTAAAGTCCCTTTCCAACCTAAACCATTCTGTGATTCTATGGTGTTTTACTAATTCCATGCACTGAAGCAGAAATGAGATTTTCTTTGAAGGAGCAGAAGAATTCTTGTGTCCCTTTATCCTTTAGGATATCCTGGAGGAACAGCCCTCAATGCTCCCTCTAATGTATCATGTTCTCCTTTATTGTTGCCATAGTTTGTGCTGGTTTTGGAGACCACAGACATTAAAGTCACATAATTCTCTCTTAGAGTAAGTGATGGAGAGAAATGTTCCTGCTGTGGAGGGACGGTGGGAAGCAGTTCCGTTGATGGATACATTTTTCCAGGGAGTGACTGGTAAATCTCTCTGCCCTTGCAAAGGGCACACACAGAATGGAAACATAATTCAGAAATAGGAGAGTGGGAGTCTCTGATAACACAGCCTTGGGAAAAGGAAAAAAAACCAACCAACCAACCAAACAAAAATGCATGACCTGTGCTGGGAAATCCTGAGATTCCCTGGTGCTGTTGGGGTGCAACAGCCCCCAAGTGCAGGAGAGTTCCTGCCTTCCTGGAATACCACTAAGGCTGTGCAGTTTAACCCCGCCTGGCTGGTGATTTATCTGGTCAAATGTTGGCACACAAACCCTCTCCCTCCTCTGGGCTGTGTTTACTGTTCAGCAGATTTGGTGTAAACTGTTTTGAGAAAAGTTCCACCCCAACTTTAGGTGATGTTGGAGTTTTCTTCTCTCTGCTTACAAAGCTGCCACGGTAATTATGGGAGTCCAGATGAGAGATGCTGAGAGAGGGGAAATCATTAATTCCAAAAGTGACTTACAGTAGCTTTAGGAATACCAAAGTTAGTCCTTTAATCTCAGTGTGTGGTTCAGATGCTTCTTTATTTCAAATAAAGCTCTCATTTAGTGCTGTCAAGTTTCTATGGAATAACCATTAGTCCTGTCACTGAGCCTGGCTGGTTTAAAATTCACTAAGCTCTGCTCTGATTCCAAATCAGCCTTTTTTTCTGCATGAGGCTGCAGCAATATCCACAAACACCCCTTTTTATCTGGGCTGTGCAGCACAGGGTGGAATTTTCTGTGCTGCAGCGTCAAGGCAATGAGAGGTGAGCTGAGGACCTGGAGCCACACTCAGGGTTTTGGTTTTTTTATCTTTAAAACAGACCAGCCCCCAGTGTAAACCCTGAGATATTATTGGAGGGCATCAAGGCACGTCGAGGAAATGTGAAGTGACATATTTGGAGCAGAGGCTTTGTTCGTGCTCAGGTGATTCCACTCGGGGTCCTGAGCGCTTGGGCAGGTGAGGGTGGGCTGGAGGAGTGTTTTCCTCCCCCTCTCCCTGCTGTGCTCCCCTGGGAATCGTGACCTCAGGTGGGTCAGACCTGCAGGTGGTGTTTTCACATGGGTACTACAGTCGAGCTCCTTGCTTTCCTCTTCCTTCTGCAGTCTCTTTGGCTGTTCAGGACCGTGTTGTGGTGGGGTTTTGAACTCATCCCTGTGTGTTTGCCTGTCTGGATTCAGCCCCAGCTGTTGACATGTGCTCAGCTCCCTCAGGAGCTGCTTTTCTTGGGGGCTGGGGTTCAGGGACCAGCAGCAGACACACACACACATAACCTGGGGTTCTTTTTTAAGACACCTGCCTGAAGTTGCATCAAAGTGCCTCTTGTGTTTCTGTCTCAGCAGGCAGCACCACCGAGGGCTCAGCAATGGAAAGCTGGGCTCAAATGCTAAAGCTGGGCTCAAATGTTAAAGCTGGGCTCAAGTGTTACTAATTACTCCAGCAGTGATCAGGGCACACACAGCCCCAGGCCCTGGCTGGGCACTGTCTGTGGGTTGCTGCAGAGCTGCTCCTGGGCACTGCCTGTGGCCTGGTGTCCCCTCTGGTTCCAGAGGGCTCCAGCTGCTTTTCTCAGTCCTCCTTGTGCCAGGGTGTATTTTGGATACAGATGCAAGGTTTGGGAGGGGGGGTTGTTATGGGATCCCAGAATGGTTTGCATTGGAAGGGGCCTTAAAAATCATCTCGTTCCAACCCCTGCCATGGGCAGGGACACCTCCCACTCTACCAGGTCACTCAGGGCCCCATCCATTGTTGATTTAAGGCTGTTTCCCCCTTCTGCAGGTGTGTCAGGAGTGAAGGCTGATCGCTTTGAGGAGGCCCTGACAGTGAAACACTGCGCTCTGTCCCTGGTGGGGGAGCCCATCATGTACCCCCAGATCAACCGCTTCGTGAGGCTCCTGCACCAGCACAGCATCTCCAGCTTCCTGGTGACCAATGCACAGTTCCCAGAGGAGATCAGGTAAGAGCTGGATGAAATACCTTCCTGCTGAAACACTGGAATGCTGACCTGTGTGTCTTAATTCCACTTTATCACCCACTGGAGTGAGCTCTGCGTGATGGCAATGGAAGAACCCCCTCGGCATCTGTTTGATTTGAGCCTCAATCTCCCCGGGCTCTTGGCCGTCTCCTTCTCTCCCCAGTTTGATTTTCCTTTCTGTACCTCTCAAACAAACTGGGATTGCTTCTGAAAGTGAAGAGAATGGAATGCTGTACCTGCTGAAGGGGGAGAACAGGGAGGGAGCTGTGCTTTGAGCAGGGATGTGGATACCTGGTGTGAGCGTTTCTGTCAGCCACAGCAGGAGACTGAGCTCATAAATTTTGGGTCTGATCTTTGTTCTAACTCCATAAGGGCAGCTTTTGGCTCAAAGCAAAGCTCTGTCCAGCCCAGCATCTCCAGCAGGACCCTGAGCGCAGGATAAGGAAAGATGACAAGCACACTCCTTGGCAAAGTGGGGTCAGAGGTTTTCAACCTCCCTCTCAGAGGCACCTGAGCTGTGATTCTGTAAATGGGATAAGCATGTTAATGGACACTCCAAGAGTCTTTACAAATGCAAAGAATCCCTGTTTGTGCTGCTTTGGAGCATCCAGGCTGCTTTGAACAGAGTAGCAAGGAAACACAGCACCTGGTGGAAGCTCAGAATTCCATCAGCTGATCCCTGTGGCAAAGTCCAAACCTGGAGCTGGGTGAGCTGAGTGCTTTGGGGTGTCACTCAGCCCCTCATTTCAGCTCAGTCCCCTCTGTGTCAGTCCTGGTAGAGCTTCCTTTCCAGTCCTCGTGGTCTGAACGTGGCAGTGGCGGGGGGGTCAGGGCAGGCAATTTTGGAGGGAGTAATTATACACCACAAAGGCATTGCAAATGATTGAATAACTGTGTAATCAAGTTACTTTAAGTCATGTATTATGTGCCTGATAGATAGAAATTGCTCTTTCCTAAATATAGCAGTTTAAAAAGAGAGCACACACTCTATTTTGAAGCTGCACTTCTTCGGATCTGCTGAATCTGTTTGAAAAGAAACAAAAAAGAAAGTGATAAAATGCTGGTCTTGCTGTCTTAAAAATTGCAACTGATCTTTGGCTCATCAAAGCAAATGATTTGCTTAATATGGGAACTGAAGTAGGCACCAGGCTCAGTTCTGAGCTGTCAGCAGAGGGGGGCTGGGGTGGAAAAGTTACTCCTAAAATAGGCAGAGTGACCTCTGGTGCAGGAAGGGACTTTGGACAAGGGCCTGCAAAGGCCTCCCAGGGCTGGAGCCCCCCTGCTCTGGAGCTGGGGGGGTTCACCTGGAGAAGACAAGGATCCAGGGTGGTACCTCCTGGGCCTTCCTCTCCTTCTCCTCCTCCTCCTCTTCTGTCTGGACTGCAGCTCCACCTGCCCCCCACGCACATCCACAAAGTGAGGGAGGTTTCCTGGCTCTGTGTGTGTTTGCATGTTTGATCCTCAGGAATAACAATGAGCAGATTCTCGCTATTGCTGTGCCTGGTCCTTGTGGGCTGCTGGAGCCACCTCATGGCTGGTGGCCTGATGTCCTTTGGTTGGTGATTTCTGCCCCGAGTTCCTGTGTAAATGCCGTGGATTCGGTGTCCTGGATGTCACCTCAGACAACCCAAACTCCATCCTGGTACCATCCAACTAAATCTCCTGTTAATTATCAAGTGTATCTGAGTTCCAGGAACATCAGGTGGGTTCTAGTTCTCATGGCACCCGTGGCTGCCCTTTCTCCTTGTTCCCTGAGCATGTCCAAGCTCAGCCTGGCTCAATTCCCAGCCATGCAGGGCCCTGTGGACTGCTCCTGCTTGGAGCAATGTCGTGCAGAAATCCCTCCTTGGGATCTCTTCTAATTCCCTAATTTTCTCCATCTAACAGTGAGTCTGGCTCTTGCCTGTCCTTAGCTTTGAGTTCCTCAGAGAAGAGATGATTTTTTCTCAGCCTGCAGTTTGAAAAACACCCCCTCCATCTTCACTGGGGCCCCATTTAATTAAGCAAACGCAGCATTGAGTTAAAAAAAAAAGAGTATTTTGGCTCAGTGTTCTCTGAAACTGAACACTCCAATCCACTTAGGCCTAGAACATTTGGTCATTTTGGAGTCTGTGGCTTTGGGCTGCCAGTCCACACAGGCTTGTTTACCAAACTGATATTTTAACCTGAAATTTTCAGTTTGCTCTGGGTTTTTCATGCAGAGGGAATGTGTTCAGGTGGCTGGTTGAGTGTCCATATATTAAGTGGATTTTTCTGGACGCAAAGAGCTCTGCCCGCTCTTGTTCTGGCCAGTCCTTGTCCCTTTGTCACCCTCAGGGTGGGTGTGTTTTTAGGTGGCCCTGTTTGGCAGCTGATCAGTGGTTTCTGATGGCTGCTCATCCTCTCCAAAGAACCCCAGGAAGCTGGGACTGCTGCCTGCTCATTGCACTGTCCCCACCCCAGCCCTGCTCTTGCTGGTCTTTTCCAACCTGGAATTCTAAGGGAGCTCCTCCCAGGTTTTTCTTAGTGCCCTCAATGATCCCTTTGCTGATGGACCCGTTACTGCTTCTCCTTTATTCCCTTGATTTCTGGAAGGGTTGAGACTCAACCCAGGCTCTTCACCCAGCACAGGAGGTTTAAACTCTTTAGGAATTACCAGTGTTGGGCTCGTAGATGCTGAGCTCACTGGCATTGTGTGACCAGAAAGGAATTTAATTTATGGAGTAATGCCTTGTTAGTGGAAGGAGAACACGGTGGTGGTTTGTGTGGGGGTTTATTTTCCAAATAGCTTTGGTATCCCTTCAGAAAACTGCCTGAGGATCCACCTGCAGGTGTGGTAAGTTCAGTGTATCCAGCAGTAGGAAGTGGCTGAGTTATGGCTCTGTTTAGAATCCCAGAATCCCTGAGGCTGGAAAAGCCTTCCAGGACCATCAGGTCCACCCTGTGCTCCATCCCCACCTTGTCCCCCAGCCCAGATCTCTGAGTGCCACATCCTTGGACACCTCCAGGGGTGGGGACTCCACCACCTCCCTGGGCAGCCCCTTCCAGTGCCTGACCACTCTTTCCAGGCAGAAATTCCTCCTGAGGTCCATTTCTGTTGAATGGGATTAGTTTTCCATAGGCCAGAGCAAAGAGAACTTGGGGAAGGGGCTGAGCTGGGTAGATTTTTATCCATGGGGGCTGTGGGGAGCAGCAGAGCTTCTCCATGCTTCCCTGGCAGCCTCCTTTGGGAAGCCTTTACCAGTGTGTTACAGCTACTCTGGAGTGGAATATGTTCCAGTTCAGTGAGGAAAAGATAATTAAATTGTCAGCCAAGGCCTGTGTGTGTGAGTTCCCAGCTTTGGGGGGTGTTATTTGTTGAAAGGTTCGAGCATCTTGCCACGGACGATGGTCACTTGGCAGAGAGGAACCCCAGGACCTGGATGGTTGGCCAAGTTCCTGTTGCTGTTGGACCTGCAGAGCAGCTTGGTGGGAGCTCCTGCAGCACAAAAACACAAACTGGAGCAGCAGCAATGTCTGAAAACAGCAATTCCCTGCTTTCTCTTTCCACAGGAGCCTGGAGCCAGTGACCCAGCTGTATGTGAGTGTGGATGCCAGCACCAGGGAGAGCCTGAGGAGAATCGACAGACCCCTCTTCAAGGACTTCTGGCAGAGATTTCTGGACAGTTTAAAGGCCTTGGCTGAAAAGGTACGCAGTTAAGAATGTGCTTTTAAATAGATTTTTTTTAATTCCCCCTGTACTTTGCCTGCTCAGGACACCTTTTTTAATTCCTTCTCACCTTACTTTTCTACTTTCTACAAAGGTAGAGGCTCTCTACAAACAACTTGAGAGGCTTCAGAAGCTCTCAAGATGGGCCATGGAGTGGGTTCTGGGTGTGTTGGGAGCGTATTTGCATGGTTTGTGCATTCAGGTGTATAAATTTCAGCAGGTTTGAGCAGTTTTCCACGTGGGGAGAAAACTCATTGACAAAAGGATGTGTCTTAAATGGGACAGGAAACTGCTGTGAGAGATGGAGAGATTATCAAGTAACAGATTTTCTGATGAAGGGTTACACTGAAAACAGGCTGCTGAAGGAAAGCTGGAAATTCAGGGGAGCCTGGGAAGAGTCACAAACCCCCATGGGTCACCTTGCTCTGGTTCTCAGAGGTTCCCTTGCCCCTGCAGCACAGGAGGGACATTAAACTGGGTATGCTGGGGTTTGCCAGCTCTGACCACCCTCCTCCCCCATGGAAATCTGCTTATTTCTGGAAGATTGACCCAAAGCAGTGGTGATTTGTGTCCACCTGAGGCAGCTGAGCAGTGACCTGAAGGCCCATGGGACTGTGTCAGCTCAGAGCGTAGTGTGACATGTTTTGTAGCAATTAATGACCCATCCTGGGCCCAGCATCACATGAATTAATAACAACAGTGCTTCAGGAGCAAACCTCCTCCTCTTGTTCCTGATCCTGTGCTCTGATGGAAGCAAATCCTTGTATTTACCAATTTGGCAGCTGTTGACACGCTCCCTGCTGAGATGAACAGCCAGGAGAGAGGCTTTGCTTTAAACAGTGAGTTTTTCTGCCTTCTGAGATGACAATGTTGGGCTATTTTCTGCCAGATCCACTTAGATTAGTAGATCTGGGGGGACTCAGTGGGGTTGGGAGGCAATTTGTTCTGCAGAGTGTGATCAGGTGGATTGTGTGTGAATGTCTGGTCTTAAAATCTCAGGCCAAGCCCCTGAGTGTGTTGAAATGAGGTACAGACTGAGTTCTCTGGGAGCAGGGGAGGTGTGGGAACAACAGGAACTAAAATATTGAAGGCCAAAAGAAATATTGAAGAAGCAGCCCTTTGGGAACTTGGTTTTGCTCATCATTTCTTTCCTGCTGCCTCTCTTGACCCTGGATAGATTTGGTTCATTCCTTGCTGGGCGTTCTCAGAAAGTTCCTTGCAAAGGATTGAAGGTGAAAGTATTGGCAAGTCTGTCCATACAGCTAAAAATACTCTGGCCAAGGTGAAGAGGAGAGGAAAAAGGAGCTCAACTAGCAGGTGCATTTTCTCCTCACAGCAACTGCACTTTGAAGGGTCCTTGAAACACTGAGGAAACAAGAGCCAATTAATATTTGCTCCAGTTGGTGAAAGTGCTCTGCCAGCCCTGCTCAGCTGCACGTGGGGACAGCAAGAGCTCCTGGGGAAGCTGCTGTTTGTTGGGTTTTTCCTCATAATCACAGAATACTTTCGG